CTGTAAATTGCATTAAATCATTTTTTTACTGAGCAGGGTTCTGAAATAAAGAATATAGTTGTATTAACATCATCGGTCATTTCAAAAGTAGTAAAAAAATTTCAAGTAGATTGTTAGCAAATAAAAACTCACAAAAATAATCATTAGGGCATCTGAATTTGGCACAATTAAAAACATTTATGATGAAATAGTGTTTCAAAGTCTTACAATGGTGCAATAAATGGGTTAATTGGGAAAGGATTATTTTAAAATAATTTAAACACTATAACCTCTATGCCAGACTAATACAGAAATTAGTTTGTTAAATCATCGTCTTGCATACTGTATGAAAACTGAGAGAGTAACCTCACATGGATGAGTGCTCAAAATCATTTGGACCAATTTTTTAAAGCAGCTTTAAAATAACTGACTCCCAAATCAAGATATTAAACGCCAACTTCTTACCGGCAATAATGCTTATGGCTAAGATAGAAATGAGATGCTTTACAGAAACGCTGACACAACCCTAACTGTAGGCCCTTGAGTGTGCAGCTATAATTCTTTTTTCAAATCTTAGCCAGCAATGCTTCAGGTAAAGGAGTCCGCAGAATATGTAAACAGTAAGAGACAGTCTTAGAGCTTTTACAAAATCACAAACCTGGGACACATTTATATTCACCTTTGGTTGCTACTACTAAATGTCTAAATCATTCAAAGTGTATTGATTAGCCCTTTAATAGGTAAAAGGTGGGCAACGTATTATAAAATCAACATTTCTTAATTCATTTGATTTGCAAGAGCCACACATTTTAAGCTGACAATGTAAAACCTCTAAAAGGTTTTTCAAAAAGCCTTCTGCCTTATTTAGCATTTTGATCATTAATCAGAAACAATAAAAAAAGAATATTAAAAAAACACAACAAAGATTAAGAAAGCTTTCTTTTCCATTTGGAAATCTATTACGCTATAAAATAAGTTCCCAAGAGGAGTCAGTTTCCTATGTGGAAGGCATTTAAAACTGAACCAGATAACATAAATCCCAGAATAGGCCAAGGGAACACAACTTACACTGAAAGGTAAGTGGCTAGCATAGAGGACTTAGCTGTCTAATCCTAATTCTCATTTTTAAGAATGTCTAAGATAATGATGCTTTTAATGAGGAATTAATTTTAATGCCCCGTCAACTCTAAGTTGTAACCATGATATGGTGGTACTTTTACTCTTGTGCGTTGTCATCTCGCCAAGAGACCATTGATCCTACACTAGAAAATACTGTTTTGATGTTTATTGATCAGAACTGTATGAGGGAAATTATGATTTTTGAATGGAAGACAGTCATGAGTTACCACTTTTTGTAAATAGGGAGCCGAAAATAAATATATGTTACGAATATCATACTAAACAAACATTAAAATTATTAATTTGTTAAAAGATAAACAAAGTACACTTAATAAGTTCATGTGGGATGATACTGCACAATGAGGATAAACTTAAAATTGTAATACCTTGCCTCACAGGTGTTCTGGTTTTATAGAATTCTAAAAATTCGCTAACTTACATCACTTCTAATTTATATTTTACTTTATAAAATCATTATATCACAGGGCGCCCGGGGGGCTCAGTCATTAAGCATCTGCCTTCGGCTCAAGTCATGATCCCAGGGTCCTGGGATCGAGCCCCGCATCGGGCTCCCTGCTCCACGGGAAGCCTGCTTCTCCCTCTCCCTTTCCCCCTGCTTGTGTTCCCTCTCTCCCTGTGTCTCTCTCTGTCAAATAAATAAATAAAATCTTAAAAAAAAATCATTATATCACAGAAAAAAAGTTGAAATGTATAACAAACTTATTTTAAAAATCATCATTCAATTTTATCTTAAAATCAAGCTAATAATCCATTTAAATTCAAATTTAATCTTTTACAATCTGCATTTTACTTAAAGGCAAAAATCACACTTATTATGAGTTCCAAATTATCATGTAAATCTGTAAGAAGTTGTCATCTGGTGAAGTCTTTACTTTGTATCATGTCAGGAAATAACACTCATTATATTATAATATTAATTCCAAATGCTAATTTTCTCATCATTAGATGGCAGAAAAGAAATAATGTGCTGTTAATACTGTAATAAAGAATGTGTTGCTGAATAAGGATTTTGGAGAATATAATACATGCAAGGTTGATATTTAAATTGTGCAACTGCCTAGTAATCCTATTTATTAGGTAAAGCAAGCTATCTGTTACAACACTGGACACAGGAAGGAGAACTGGACAAGGGCAGGTAACACACACACGTACTTCATAGGCGACCTGCAATATTTATCAATTCAGCTGACTGTTTTCTTACAAATTTTAAGTATTACAAAAACAAGTAAAAACATTCTAGTTATTGTACCAGTATGATGTGGTTAGTGACTTATTTGAACCCAACTCCTTGTGACTGTTTTCGATGAAACAGACAATTTTCTTAAAATTAAGTTTCAAAATTCCCAAATGAATCCACTACTTGTTTAAAATATTTAGCATGTTTTAAAAAGTACATTCTTCATGTTGCCAGGGTGGATGAAAAAATAAAATCCAATTCCAGCAATAACCCAACCTTGCCCCCGCCCCTGTTCCCCCAGTGGCAGATCTACTAAATATACACGTTTCTAGTTCCTAGAAAATTAAAAGACTAGTTTCTAAATCAAGAAAACGTTTTATCCACTTGCTATTGGGACTCAGCAAATAAGTTCAATATCAGCTTGAAAAAGGTAGAATAAAACTGGGAGCCATCTAAAGGGCCAGATGATGACCTGCCCTCCTTGATACCTGTGAGGGTGGGGTACATGGTGGGATTGGGGAATGTTTTCATTGAGGTCTACCTTCCTCAGCCACTCTGTTTTCCTTTCACATCCTAACCCCCTTGTGTTACATGGCTGGAAACAGCTCTAAGAATGTGGAGAATGTAAACAGCCTTTTATTGTCCAAAAGGATGGCGGTGTAAGGAATGTGTGCTTATCACACAGCTGCAGCCCTGACCTCACTTACCATGATAAAGTGCTCCAGGAAAAAAACATTACAACCCAAGCACAATCCAAAAACGGATTAGAATTTGACATAAGCTTCCTTAAAAATGCATCAATCAATCCATGCTGTAATATTAGAATCTAGCTCTTAAGGAGGGTATATAATCCCTTCAAGATGTATTTCCTATTTCCTATTGACTATGGTGGTGTGAAAAAAAAATGTAACATTTCCAATACGGTGGCTGACAGGAGAACTTTTTCCCATCATATGCCCAAATATATTTCCTCATCTTTAAGAGTCTAACACAGTGGAACAGATACACAGTTCATGATCACTGAATGCAAAATTAAATTAACTAAGAGATTCATGAAGATAACCTGAAGATCTTACTTAAGTACCTGATTTCTCCAGGCTTTTGGAGTTTTACTTACACACACCATACAAATGCTGCTGGTTACACCATCTTTTATTGGAATCCAGATTAAACATTTTAAAAAGCAAGTGATACTAAGGTCTAAGGTGGCATATATGTTGCATGTACAATGCCTTAGATGTAAAATTTATTTTAACATGCAATATTGTGTATAGGCAGGATGTGATGGCTCAGCAAAGGACATCTGGGAACATCACTGCACTTTCCTCTTGACGCCACTGAAGAATTTCTTACCTAATGCTGTGCAAGTGAAGCTAATCTCTGTTGTAACCAGAATGGACAGGCCTTTCCTTATCCTCTCCCCTTCACGAAGACCTTTTAGAATTCCCTTCCATCCTCAAAATTTGCAAGTACCTCTGCATCTACAGTATCATACATCTCACAGAGAAACTTTGGTAAGTTACTGGATCTCATCCTCTTAAAGGAAATAACAGAGATAGAGGAGAGGAGAGGAGGAAAGAAAGGAAAAAGGAGAGAGCGCCGAAAAGAAAAAGGAAAGGAAGAGATCATCGTTCTCTAAGTGTTTGGTTTCCTTAACCTTGTTTTAACAGCCCAGAGCTACCTGAGCAAAATCTTAAGTATAAGGACCAAAGAAACCGTGGAATCTGGAGAAAACCCTCTTAACAGCACTGAATCAAGGCAGGTGCCTGGAGAGCACGAGAAATCCATCACACAGGCGAAAGCAGTCCCTTTCTCTAATTTTACTTTAAAAGTTGTCTTCTGCAAGATTTTACTTGGGATCGCCCTTAAGTATAATTAACAATACATACAGTATGGGGGTACATTTCAGAAGGAGGAGAGCGCGGCGCCACGCGGGAAAAGCGGGGAGAGAAGATAGTTACAGTGCGAACAGTCGCCCAAAGCATCGCTGGCGAACCCTGAGCCACCTTCTAATACCCTTCATATTCCTCAGAGCCCCCTTGGCCAGATGAGGCAGGAGAGGTCTTTGGTAGCATACGGCTTACGAGATTCCCGAGAGGGGGCTCCAGCGTGGAGTTGGGCGTGAAAGTTACATCCTGCATCCCCAGCGGCACAAAACCCCATCCCAGTCCCCAGCGCCAGACGGAAAACGAAGAGAAATCCAATCTGCGCCCCCCACCGCATCGGTCTTTTGCCTAAGTTTTCTCCTAGCAAGGAGCTACTAATTGACCCTGAGAACAAGGAAGCACGATGCCAAGGTTTGAAAGGATTGCAGGCATCCGGGCATAATATCATGTGAAACATAAAAACCACCAAACCCCTTAAACTCTGGGCTGGAGGCAAATCTTTCAGACCATCCTCATCGTTTCCCTCTACCCTCATCCCCTCTCGCACCTTCTTCCTGGCCACTTTCTGCCTACTTTACCCCAGCCCTCAAGTCCCAATCCTTGCTAAGCCCTTCATCCGCCTCAAGGTTCCCTCTATTAAATTCCGCGATTCTTCCCCTCCAACCCCTAAAGCAACCCCAAACTCCCTGCGCTGCGTGCGTTTCCAGCCCCGAGGTCCCATGCAACCCCAGTCTCTGCTTCCGAGTCGGCCACGGACGCGGTTTTCCCGCCGAAATGCGTCCCCAGCGCGCGAGGCGCGCGGCGGGCCGGACACTCACCAGCTGCAGCAAGCCGGGGACCACGACGAGGGGCAGCGGCCGCAGGCGCATGGTGCCGGCTGGCGCGGCGTCTCACGAGCTGCGCGCCCTCGCCTGCCTCTCGCGCATCTCCACTTCGAGGGGCAGGACTGAGGACGCCAGGGACACCGCGCGGCGCTTTCCTCCCGGAATCCGAGCGCAGCTCCGCGCCGCGCGGGCCTGGTGGGCGGGCGGGGAAGGGGGAGGGTGGGCTGGCGGGAGGTGCTTCTGGGGCCCCCCGCGCGCCCCTCCTTAGAGGGGACCTGGAAAAGAGCGTGCGGGGCTCCAGGGGCGCCTGGGGCTCCGGCGTTCCGGGGTCGGGGTGAGCGCGGGGGGCGCCCGCGGGCTGGAGGCGGCGGCTCGGGCGCTTTGGTGCCGGGTTCCCGCGCGAGGCTGCTCTAGTGATCCGGCCCCGCCGTGCGGCTGCCGGGCAGAGCTGAGCGCCCCCGGAGCTCGGGGAGGCCCGGAGCCTTCTCTGCCCCTGCCCCGCCCAGCAGAGAGCCGGTCCGGTGGCTCGGCTCGGCCAGCCGCCCTGCCCACTGACCCGCTCCCGTTTTACTGGGGAGGTAAGGGCGGGGGGGGGGTGTCTCCTTACACCGACACAAGAAAGAGGGCTCCGGAAGAACACCCGAAGAGTTTGGAGGGAAGGAGATAGCAGGGGTCTGGGCGGGGCATGGGGGGCAGCGAACAAGAAAGGCTGATGCGGGGAGGTGGGGCTGGAGCCCGGGACTCCCCGGGAGAGCGCCCCACTCCACGTCAGCGCCCAGCTCCAGAGCCCCAGGCGAGGGGTGCAAATTGTGGCTGGCGCGGCTGGAAGGATTTCTGGAAGTGGGAAATAGTGGGAACCGAGAGGCACCTGGAGGAGGGGTGGCGGCAGAGCCGTGAGAAACCGAGCTAGGTGGGCGGTCAGGGCTTGATCGGGTTTAAAGACGATATAGACAGCTGGGTGGCCCGGAGACCGACAGAGCTGCGTCACACAAACCTTCTGCCAGGACGCGGGATATCTTGGAGAGGGGTGGGTATCTTTGAGCCCGGGAGAGGCAGTAAACCTGCAGCCAGTGAGCCTCACCCCCTTGTTAACAACTCGCCATTGGAGAGATCTTTAACCTTCAACTACCTCTGTGCTGGACATTCGAGGAGAAAAGTCAAAGGGCAGTGGGCCTCAGACTCTTCCACTGTTTATGGCGGATGAGAATTTAACCATCGCTCATCGACCCATTTATTGAGCAGGTGGGAAATTTAAGGTCCAGAGAGGTAAAGCCACTTTTCCAGGGATGAGTCTCTAGGCAGCTGCTTCAAGAAGAATGAGCAAAACAAGCTTATTTCCTATTTCCAGAAACACAAAGCTCTTACTTACGGAAGAAAAACATGTTGAGGCAAGGGAGAAGAATTGCGATTGATTTCCAGTCTTCAAAAAATAAAACAACAAAAAGTGAAGTTTGGGCTGAAATTTTAGGGGAAATTCCTAGGGGAAATTTAGGAAAATCTTCCTCTTCTTACAACCCACCTTCCACCCTAAAACAGAAATGAAAGGGGAGTCTGTAAGCCTTTGAATGGTTCAGGACCACGTTTGAAGCAGAGCAGCCTCCAAGGTAGGTCCCAAGGATAGTAGGATTGACTTGGGTATGGCAAGGTCCCATCTTTTCACTGGGTATGCCAAGATTGTACAGACGGGGAGAGAGTTTATTCCAAAGTATTCTGGGATCCCAGTGTGACTTGAGCATGTTGTCTCTGAGGCTGCAAGTGGGGGTATCTCTCTAGTACAATTCCATTCTGGGTATGGAAGGAAGGGGGGAAGATAAGTGAGGGCCATGTGTTCTCCTTAACCCCTTGCCAAGCCTGACTGGGGGTTGCAGAACTCTATAGCAAAGGATTCACCAGCTCTGTCCCTCTTCTTGTCCTGGGACTCTTACTATTCCTTGCAACAAACTCTTAGACACAATCACTTTTTGCCTATCTAAATCTATAACTCACCTCCTATAGCTACCCCTCAGGTCCGTAAAAATTATCTCTTTACCAAGGCTTAGAGACCACTTCTAGAAAGTGATTTTATCCCACAAGCATAAATAAGATCATTTCAAAAATTGGAAGAGGTCTCTATGGGTTGATCTCCTTGTCCAACTTTAGGTCCCTGGATAAGGCTGCATGTTATTTGCAGACAGTCTTTGGGAAATAAGGACTAGATGGGGAAGGGTTTGACAGAAATAGAGGAACCGCCTTTTGGAGAGGTGCTGCTAGAAGAGGGAGGGGAAGGCAAAGGACTTTGCAAGATTTAGATTCATTTAGATTTGGTGTCTGAGCTTCAGCTGACTCATCTATAAAACCAGAAGGTGGGCTCCCTTCCTGACTTAGTAGTTTCTAATTCTTGTATCCCTAACTCTCTAAATGATGAGTGGTTGACTTAACACACGATTGAAATAATAATTAAGTGATTTAATTACTGGAATACTTAACCCTTTAAAGTGGTTCATATTTCTTAGACCATTTCTGTACTTTTGGGACACAGACATAAAATTTTAAAGGGGCCTAAACTTGGACATGTGTCCAATTAGTACAAAGTATTCTCACAAAGGAACATGCTGAAAGGTGTCAAATTCCAAGCTAACAGCTAAGGAACATGAGTGAACTTTTGTGTTCCACTGATAAGGCTGTGTAAGAGAGCAGCACCAAGGGCCTCACTGACTAAGGTCTGGTGTTACTATGTTTTTAATAAGGTGACTACTGGTAATTTACTGTATTCCCCAAATTTTGCCAAACATACTATGGGAAAGTAGGAGAAAGGATGGAAGGAAGGAAAGAAGGAAAGAAAAGAAGATAGAAAGGAAAGAAGAAAGGAGGAGAGACAGGCAGAAAGTAGCATTTAATATGTTGCTTTGTCCTTCAGAATATACAGTCTAATCAGGAAACATGCAATAAACAAAACATAATAGACATTACAAGAAAGTATAAGCTTAAGGGCTGCCTAGTACAATTCAAGGGAAGAAAGATCATTTTAAACCAATACAAAGACTTCGTGGCAGAGACGAAATGGGAGCTGGCTCTGTTTCCAAGAATGGCCAAGATGAGTCTATGTGGGAGGAAGAGCATGAGAAAGGGCAAAGTGGAGGGACTTCGTATGACATCACTGGAAGCCGGACAATAAGTGGATCAGACTGGCTGGAGGAAATGTGTTGAGGAAAAGTGAGAGGAAAGTTAGGTTATGGGCTAGGCAGTAGAGATCTGAGAATGCCAAGCTGAACAGTTTAGCTTGATCTGCAGGAAATAAGGAGTCTTACAACTTTTTGGAGGAGGAAAGTCACACATCAAGTGGCATAGATGTACACGCAGGGTGGTCTTGAGGATGTTGCATGATGAGATGGTCATGGTCATTGGAAAGACAAGAATGGAGAGACGTGGGTGCATGAGCTGTTGTAAAGGAACAGCGAACTGAATTTGGGGTTGGAATATTTTTAAACTTTCCTGGCATATTGGAGGATTTTTTTTTCTTCACTTTAAACATCACCACTTTCCCTCGTATAGGCAATTTAACAGCTAGAGAATCAGATCATTGCCTTTTCATTTTGCAAGGGTGGTTTTCACAGTGTGAGGGGAGTGAAAATAGTCTTTTCATATAGACAAGTGGCAGAAAGTAGAACCTAACAAATTTTACTGCCATATGATTCCATTGTAGTCTTTCAAACAGGCAACCTACAGGGATGCCAACGCTTTGAAAGCAAATTTGTCAACTTTTGCTCATCTGGACCATAGCTTTCTTCTTATGCTTCTCTGTACTTACTTTCTCACTCTACTGTTCATTAGCATCATCACCAGCATGTGGATAAGAACATTCTACGCAGCGTAGCACTTCAGAGTCTCAGTAGATAGTAGACATTAACCAACTTTCTCCTTTATGTTTAAGGAAACAGAAACTCAGTGTTATGTGACTTGCTGCAGGTCATCTGGAGACATGTGGGCAAATCTGAAACTTGATTCAAGGCCTTCAGCTTCCTATACGGTGCTCTTTCCAATTCATCACTCTGCCTCAGGTAGTTTTCAACTGGCCGGCAGTTATAAAAGTTTTGATGTAGTGAATGAAGGAGCCTTTAGCTAATAAGAGTTGTGGGAATGATCTATGGATCCTAAAAGCCCCAGAGTCTATCTTATTATTAGGAAAAGATGTTTGACTGGACTGAGCCTGAAGCATCGATCTAGTAACAATTTTAGAAGAGTGAGGCATGAGGAGAAATACATGGCGTGGGGCTACTCGGCAGCCCTCAGGGAAGCGGGACTCAGGACTCAAGAATATGGCAGTTCTTAACCCAAGGAAAGAGGGAATTCTCAGGGAGTCCTTGGAACTCTTATACCTCTGTAATAAGCTGGTGGGCTTTTAGTAGCAATTCTTAACAACTTAAAATCTTTTTAGTTGCCACTCCTGTTGAGTAATTGAATATTATTGAGTCACTATTTAATAAAATATGATGCCATGTTACATTGTCTTTAAACCCTGACTGCACAGCATCACTGGGGAATTTAACATCTCTAAAAGTGGACTTGAGCACTGACATTTTTCACCCAGGAGTTTTTATTATATAGTCATGGTTGAGAACTACTGCTCTACCAGAAACTTATTTTTTTTCTTCCTTCCTTCTCCCCTCCCTCCCTACCTCCCTCCCTCCTTCCTTCCTTCCCCTACAGAATTGTAGCCAACCCCCATTTGGAATGTTCTGAGGTTTTAGTAGAATATCATTTGAACCTATTTACATTCTTAGTTATATAGGACTTGTCAGGAGAGAGCTAGACATTTCCTTTGTAGATATTTGGGCCATGACTGGGGAATTTATAAAAGTTTTATCACATGTACCAGTGGCTCCTGGTTCAGACATAAATCAAAGGATTCCTCTGTAGTGAAATGTTTTTTTCTCCACAGTTGGTGGCCACAACTGTATGTCTTCACCGTCTCATCCTTGGATGTTAGAAGGTGCTACCGGGAGCGAGCTACTGGTTGATACCACTATCAGCAGCCGAGGGGAGAGGTAGAGGGGAGAGGGGGGCCTGGGGTTCCCAGTGGGTCCTATAATGAGAGGGCTACTGGGTAG